CAGGGGAACAGGCATCCTTCCACTACAGGCTTCCACATCCTTTCCCTTCTCTTAAGGCGTTAAAGCCCCTTACCTGATAAAATCTGCCAAGCAAACTGGGAAATATTCAGGCTGAAGGGGTGGCAGATTCTTCCCCTAGCCCAGTTCAGTTGTGGCTCGATGTGGTTGGTGCCTTTTCATCCCTGTGCCAGAGGCTGGGGCTGCATCAACGGGTTGGTGTGAGTGGTGAAATGGCACGACAGGACGGATCAGTGCCACACTGTGTGGGGTTTGCATGGACAGGTTTTGGCAGCAGGGGGGGCTACAGGGGTGGCTTCTGTGAGAAGGTGCTGGCTGGGCCAATCAGGAATGATAGTGACGCCTCTGGGACAACATATTTAAGAAGAAAAAACCCAGTGTTACTGCAGAGGTGTAATTGCAGCCAGAGAAGAGCAGGGTGAGAATATGCGAGAGGAGCAACAGTGCAGACACCAAGGTCAGTGCAGAAGGAGGGGGAGGAGGTGCTCCAGGCGCCGCAGTGGAGATTCCTCTGCAGCCCGTGGTGCAGACCATGATGGGGCAGCTCTGCCCCTGCAGCCCATGGAGGTCAGTGGGGGTGCAGAGACACCCCCCCCTGCAGCCTGCGAAGGAGCCCATGCCAGAGCAGGTGGATGCTCAGAAGGGGTCTCCGAACCTGTGGGAAACCCATGCTGGAGCAGGATCCTGGCAGGGACCTGCAGACCCATGGAGAGAGGAGCCCATGCTGGAGCAGGTTTCCTGGACTTGTGACCCAGTGGGGGGGCCCACATTGGAGCAGCCAGTGCCTGAAGGACTGCACCCTGTGGAAGAGTGACCCACGTCACAGCAGTTCATGGAGAACTGTTGCCCATGGCATGGACTCACGCTGGGGAAGTTCATGGAGGACTGTCTACCATGGGAGGGACCCCATGCTGGAGCAAGGGAAGGACCCTTCTCCCTGAGCAGCATCAGGAACATGTGATGACCAGACCATAGCCCCCATTCCTTGTCACCCACTGGAGGGGAGGAGGTAGAGCTGGGAAGGAGGGAGGGGTGGGGGGAAGGTGTTTTTAAGATCTATTTTACATCCCATTATCCTGCTATGATTTTGCTAGTAATAAATTCAGTTGATATCCCCAATTCGAGTCTGTTTTGCCCACAATGGTATTCAGTGAGTGATCTCTCCCGCCCCTTATCTCAACTCAAGAACCTTTGTTATATTTTTCTCTCCCCTGTCCAGTTGCAGAGGGGAGTGATAGAGCAGCTTGGTGGATGCCTGGCATCCAGCCAGGGTCAACCCACCACACACACAAAAGAGTAGGGAGCAGGGTTTGCTCTTGCAGACAAAAGCTAATTTATTGGGATATTTGTGTGAGGCAGCACACGGGTGGAGGATCAGATCTTCTGAACATGACGGCTGGTCATTGTGTAGTTGCAAAGGTCCTTGTAGCAGCATCTTCAGCTGGAGCAGGAGAGACTCCCCCAGCTTACATCCCCCAGTCCTGCCCAACCAGCTCCTGGATCTGTGGTAATTGATAATCTTAAATGACCTACACAACATCTCCAAACTACCTTAAATATACATATTCTGCTGTTGCAAACTGTCTGTGCAGTTTGGGTGATGCTGCAGCAGGAACCAGCTGGGGAGGCCATGGGATCATAGAATCAGAGAATCATTTAGGTTGGAAAAGACCACTGAGTCCAATCCAGCCATCATCCATCAGATGCTCTGTCCCTCCCTGCAGGGGAGGTTTGGGTTGCCCTGGAGGGTTTCCCAGTGGTCCTGGGGGGGTTTTAGGTTTCTCAGCCTGTTGTTATGGTAAAGGGACACTTGCCTGTCCTGACTGCTCCATTCCCAATGCTGGCTTTGGCACTGCACAAATTAAGGCCAACAAACTGTGCTGTGCAGGGTCAGGAAATACAGCCTTGCCTGCCTGACCTTGGGCAAGGGGAGGGACAGAGGCTGGGATCCCAAGAGGGAGGGTGGTGGTGTGAGAGAGCATCTCAGTGCAGGGACAGGAGTAGTGCTGGCCCTGAAAACTGAGCAGCTCAGGTTTGGAGGAGCAGGGAAGGCACAGAAAGCAGCACTCTAGATATCTAGCCCAGGGCAATCCCTGCCTGGGCAGGACACTTGGCTCCCTTTGCGTCATTCCTCAGCCACCAGGAAAAGTGGATCATGGGTATGGACCACAGCCAAGAGATTGAGGTTCAGGCAGAGAATTTCCGAGAGCCACAGGCTGGTGCAAGTCCTCATGGGAACATGTGAGATAACCAAGTAGCAAAAGGCACCCGCAGAGTCCGGGTGAGAGCAGTGCAGCCAAGGACAGAGCAGCATGGCAGGGCTCCGTGTCCGCTCCCTTCTGGTGACTGGGGCCAACAGGGGCATTGGCCTGGGGCTCGTCCAGCACTTCCTGAAGATGCCAAACCCACCCCAGTGGGTCTTTGCAGGCTGCCGGGACCCCAAGGGACAGCGAGCAAAGGTGAGGCTGGGCTGGGAGGCAGTGGCTATGCTGGGGGACGGGAGCACTTGGTGCCATGGTGGAGACTGGAGCGAGGAGGGGGTTTGTGAGGGGCTGGAGCTGCGGCTGGGCACCCACAGCACAGGGCAGGTGGGCTGGGACACCGTGGGAGCAGCTGTGCATGGGATGTTTGACGGGAACAGCGGCACATGGCACGTGCAGGAGGCACAGAGCCCCATGTGATGGGAGCAGGGCAGCTGGAGCAGGGTGTTGGGCACAAAGCAGTGCAGGGATGGAGCCAGAACGACATGGGCTTTGCCTGAGAAAAGCTGAGCCCCTCTGCAGCCCCTCCTGCCTCTCCGTGCCCACACAGTGCCCTCTCTTGCAGGAGTTACAGAATTTGGCCTCCAAGCACCCCAACCTGGTCATAGTCCCGCTCGGTAGGTGCCCCGAGGTGGGGAACCTGTGCCTCAGTTCCTCTGGCGAGTGCCCAAGCGCTGGGCACACCCTGGCAGTCCCTGTGCTGGGAGGGAGCCGTGCCAATGGGCTGGTGCTTGTGGGGCCATCGGGTGCTGCCAAAGCTTCCGCCTATGACCAGCTCTGAAGCATGTCCCTGGGGGAAAACAGGACACCCCAAGCCACCACAGGGACACTGATCTCCCCTATATCGGCTCTGCAGAAGTTGCCAACTCTGCCAGCATCAACGCAGCTGCAACCACAGTCAGGGAGCACGTGGGGGGCTCCGGGCTGAACCTTCTCATCAACAATGCTGGAATTGCCAAGATAACCTTGCTTGAAAATGAGACACCAGAGGACATGACTGAGACTTACACCACCAACACGATTGGGCCTCTGCTGATGGGCCAGGTGAGACCCTCACCCAAGCTGGGCTGTCCTGGGGGAGCGTGAAGGGCTGGTGGGAGGGGGCCCTGCTTCCACTCTGGAGCCTGATGGGCTCTCAGTTGATGAGGAGCTTGTGGAGCCATGGGCTGGAGCTCAGGAGCTGGAGCCTGGCAGGCTGGGGCAGTGGGGAGAGGAGGGAGAATGTTCTGATGCTGGTGCCAGTGCTGCCCACTGTGGAAGGAGCTGGTCCTCTCCCCTGGGCCACATCCATGTCTCCCCTGTCTCCTCTTCCTCCTCGCAGGCATTCCTGCCCTTGCTGAAGAAGGCTGCCCAGGGGAGCCCGGGCTCAGGGCTGAGCTGCAGCAAGGCAGCCATCGTCAACATGTCCAGCGTTGCTGGCTCCATCACTAATCCATATGGTTGGGAACTGATGCAAGCTACCTCGTACCGCTGCAGCAAGGTACTGTCACACCGTGCTGGGGACAAATTTGCTTCCCCTGCTCTGCCACAGCCACAGGTCCCCTTGCAGCCCCCCCTCTCCTCCCACCACCATCCCTGCCCTGTCTCCCCACAGGCTGCTCTGAACATGCTGAGCAAGTGCCAGTCCCTGGCATACAAGGAGCACGGCATCTTCTGTGTCGCTCTCCACCCTGGTTGGGTGCAAACTGACATGGGCAGCTCTGCTGGACACACGGTAGGAATTATATCATGGTGGCTCCGTCAGAGCCCATGTGCTGACTTTCCATGGTTGGAAGTTACTGCCATGATTCCCTGCACACAACTTCCCATCCTACCTGATCTCTGCCAGGACAGCTCTCCCTATCCTTGTCCCGGGTGCTGGGTGCCCCCATCCCCTTGGTTCCCTGCTCAGCCCCTCTGCCTGAGGTTGTCGGTTTTCCCCTTGCCTTGGAGTGGGTCCTTCCCCTGGCTCCAGCTGCTCCAGGGCCCTCAGCCAGGCCTTGGGCACAGGCTGCCTCTCCCCCTTTGCCCCACAGCCCCCCGTGACAGTGGACGACAGCGTGAAAGGGATGCTGAAGGTGCTCTCCTCCCTCTCCGAGAAGGACACCGGCACCTTCCTGGACTGGGAAGGGAAGGTCGTGCCCTGGTGAGACACCAGTTCAGGATCGTGGCAGCGGGACCCTTTGCTGCTGCTCCCATCTGCCCCATATCCTCAATAAACCCCTGTCAAGAGCCCTCAGCTCTGCTGTGCATTGCCAGCTCATGGGGTGGCCCCTTCCTGGTTGCCCCACTCCTCAATCCCACAACTGCCACTGGATCCATGGCTGTTGTTGCACCCCCATGAGTGACAACATACAGGTCTCACGGCACTGCAACAACCCTCTGGAGACCTCTCCTCCAGGAGGCACTGGAGGAGCCAGGGCAGAGGCCCTTCCATGGAGTCAAAAGATCTTCTGAACACCTGCAGGGCTGGCTTTCCCCCTCTCCAGCTGCAGGGCACCCCAGGGCTATGCTCAGCCTGGGCTGCCCAAGGGGCTGGAGTCACGGGGACCAGCTGCCCTCTCCCCTCAGCTGGGGGATGCCTGGTCACAGGTGGGACAGACAGACACACAGCACTTGGGAAGTGCACAGTGAGCATGTGCCGGGCTCGGGTGGGGAGTTTGAGGCTGGGTATGTGGAGACAGAGCAGAGAGACATTAGCTCACAGACTTTACAGAGGGGGGGGGTACAGAGAGACTACAGGGTCATGTAGAGGGTGGGGAAGGGGAGAGACCCTGCTTCCCAATCCCTTCCCCTCTCCCTGACAGCCCAAGGTGGGCTGAGGGCAAGCAGGGTGACCACTCAGAGAGGTGAGTCAGCAAGCGGGAGGCTGCAGCATGGGCAAGAGAAACCATCCATCTGTCCATCACCAGGGCAGGCAGTTTCCTTCCCAGTCGAGGAAGGCTCCGGAGGCGTCCTGCGAGAGGCTGGCCAGCACGGTCAGGATGCCCCGCACGCTCTGCTCCACCGTCAGTGGTGCCTGCAGGAGGGGACAAGGCACAGCATCACTGCCATGGGCTGTGATCAGCACAGAGAGCAGCTCTTGGGCAGAGGAGAGGGTGTGCAGCCTGGGAGCAGCACCCACAGTGCTCATGGGGATATTTTTCCTTACTGCCACCCCTATGTTCTCCAGGCTGGGAGGAGGGGAGACATGGCTGGCTGTGTTGCTTGCTGCCTGCTCCCTGCTTGCTCTGACCCAGGAGATGGTCCTGGCAGCCCACACAACATCCCCCAAGTGCCCCTGCCCACCCCAAGACATGGGGGTACAGGGGGGGTTCTGCTGTCCCTCCCCTGTACAGCCCAGTACCTTCTCCGTCCCCATGTCAGTCTTCACCCAGCCAGGATGGATGGCCACACACAGGATCCCCTTGTCCTGGAGCTCCACAGCCAAGCACCTTGTCACCATGTTCTGGGCAGCCTGGAAGAGGCACAGCCCTGCCAGCACGACCTGGGGTGCGGGTGGGCAGGAGGGGGCACATTTCCAGGGCAGAAAATGGCTGTGGAGGTGGGCAATGGGACTTGGCCCCTGGGCAAAGCATCAGCACGACCTGCCTGGAAGGCTCAGTCCCGGGTGCTGCTGTCCCGGTCTCTGTGCTGCTGCCTGGGAGAACCAGGCAGGGGGTGGGTGAGTGGGGCAGGGGGTGCCCCCATGGCCTTTCCCCCTCCACGGGCACCGTGCATGGCAGAGCATCCCCAGCACCTCCCCTGTCACCTCACCTTGCTGGCACGGTACGGGTACATGGGGGCCTCCTGCACCCCGAGGCACAGCCCGAGGGATGCCAGTTTGGTGGAGATGTTGATGGCCGCGGCCCTGCTGCAGCTCAGCCCCTCCTTCCCTGCGCCCTTCGCCGCCTGCTCCAGGAGCGGCAGGAATTCCTGAGGCAAAGACACTGATGCTCTGTTCAGGCCTGACAAGCTCCCAGCTTGAGGACTGCCCTGGAGGGCTCTGTCACACGCCACGGATGAGCAGCTGGACGGACACCCCTGGCAGAAGGGCAGGGGATGGGGAGGATGCCCCAAGGAGTGGCCAGGCTCCAGCCTTTCCCCTCCCCAGGGAAGGAGCAAGCTGGCACAGCCAGCCTGGGGCGGGCAGGAGCTCCGGCTGGGGAGGAACAAAGCGAGGGAGGTGTCGGGGCTGGGCTGCCCTGCCAAGCTCCCCTGGGTGGGCAGGGGAGACCCATGGAGGTGGTCTTATTCCCATCAGGGAACATACCCCCAAGCAGGAGAAACCCAAAAGGTCCACATGTACCTTGGTAACCTGCAGTGGCCCAACCACGTTGGTGGCAAACACGGCGAGCATCTCCTGGGGATCCAGGGAGTGCAGCGTGGCGTGTGAGCTGACACCTGCGTTGTTGATGAGCAGGTTCAAGCCCTGGTCCTTCAGATAAGACCCCACAGTCCCCACGGCCCCTCGGATGCTGGGCAGGTTCACTGTGTCTGCCAGGGCAAAAAGCAAAGTGGAGCAGAGCTCCTGCAGGTCACACAGCACCCACTGGAGATTGTGCTGTGGCTGGAATGGCTCTTTCTAAACCAGCATTATCCAGAAAGGACACAGCAGGTTTAGCAGGTCAGGTTAATGAGCACATTGAAATGATCAGCAGCCTGTCCTCACCTCTTGGTTTCACAGGCAAATTAAACCTCAATTCAACCCATTTTGGCTGTATGGGGGCTACTGGCAGGAAAAACTTGCTGTATTTGCTTGCTGTACTCAAGGAATTTATGACTGCAGAAGGGATGCTTGGTCCTTGCACACTGAGACTCCCAAATTTATTTGCACTGGGAGCCAACACAGATGGGCACATTTTAAGGACAGACATCATCTTTGGGGAAACAACCAAACTATGCTCTTCAAGCCCTTCTGTACTTCACAGCAGCTACAGGGGCTGTTAACACAGAGGGGATTATTAGATTGGATGAAAATCCTTTCTGTTTTATACCACTTTGACCAATCATTTTGAGTTACCTTTGCCTTTTTAAACAATTTGTGCTTAAATTGATCTTCCACAGAGCAACTTCCCATAGTTTTGCAGCCATTGGTATGCAAAAATCCATCTTTTTTCCTATCATTTTCTTCTGTTTAGATTTTTATTTGCTTCCTGTTGTTACTCACAAGGATTTGGAGCTCACAGATGAGCTAAGGTGAGTACAAGTAATAAAAGATTTGGGATGTAAACTGCAGTATTTGGTTGCAGGCTCTGAGTCCGAACTTCCCCATCCCTACTGGCCAAGTTGTGGGGACAACCCCTCTCAAGCAACAGAAACAACTGAAACTGGGCTAACAGGGATAAGCATCCCCAATGCCTTCCTCTTTGTTTAAATACTGGTATGGTTTTGAGATTCTGCCATGCTTTTATTGCAGGATTTTTTGGCTAAGGCAATAAAAATGGTATTTTTTTTAACTTTGTGTTCAGCTTTTGGGGTTGCTTGTTGGGATTTGTGTCCCCTACCGGGTGCTCACCCCCTGAAGTGGCTGTTGTTTGTTTAAAAGGGTCATCTAAACACCTTCAGGATCTGAAATGGGCGGGTTAGGCCAACATTAAATGTTATATATTGCCTTTTAATACCTCAACTGATCCCCTAAGAACCATGAATATTCAAGCATACGGGCATGTTAGAGTGTGCCCTTGCTCCCCTTGCACATTTCTGTGCCCATTTTTTGCAGATGCCAATCTGATGAGCCTGCTGGGAGGGGGTGACCGCAGGGCTTGATTCCTCTTTTTTTGCAACACTTTGGCCCCTGAGCTGAGTTTCTGTTCTCACGCTTAGACAAGAGTGACTTAGCAGAGGTTTCCAAGACTGAAGACTCCCTTCTTGGAGTACTTCATGCACTGACGAGCAGCAGAACCACCCTTTTTCCTGGCATTTTTAACGAGCCTGGTGTCTTTATGGTGGTAAGCAGGTATGTGAGTGGCATGGGACTTGTGCAGCACACACCTTTGTAGAGGTGTCCTGAAAACATTTGTGGGGAATGTGAGGGGCTGGAGCCTTGGGATTCGAGAGGGCATGGCCAGCTGCAGGACATCACAGAGAGCTTTGGAATGAGTTCTCTTTGGATAAATCGGATGAAGTTCAAGGCTCTCCACCACAGTGAGGGATCTTTTGGTCACTTGGTGAATGATTAACTGCTCTGTTTGGATTAGCTGAATCATTGCTCTGAGGGGTACATGTTTCTAGTTCTATGTCACCAAATTTGCTTAGGGAGTAAACTTTTGTCTCCTTAGAGGAAATGAGATAAGGATAAGAAAGAAAGAGAGAACAAAAAGAAGTGACAGATCAATTGCACACATTTTGGAGTTACTTTTTAACTCCTTTCTGAAAAGTCCATTCCTGTTGCTGGTTTGGAGACAACCTTTCCTTAAGATGGAGCAAGACAGCCTGAAGCAGCTTCTCTTTTAAAAAAATATTTTGTTGCTGTTGATTCTTCAGGGTTTTTTAGCTTATTTTGGGACATAATTGATAGTCTGGGGTTTGGGCGTATGTCTTTTAGTAGAGGTTGTTTATGTAGTGGTCAGTCCTTTGAGATGTCCCTTTTTATGTTGGCCATGCTTTAGTGAGCTTACTTCCCATCATGTACTGCCAGTTGGGGCTCACAGCTAATTTTTTTTTATTACAGAGAAGGTGTTTTACTTTAATAATCTACTTAATAGCTAGAGAAAGATTTGCTGCCTCTTTGTAGTAAAAGCCTGACTTCAGGAATGTCGTATTTGCTAAGAAATGCTAAAAAACCTGAACTTTGAAAACCTGCACTTTTCAGGTGTTTTCAAACAAATAAATAGGTAGATAAATAGGTAGATACTTATACGGTCTTTGCATGACCTTTATTCAATTTTCTTATTACTGGCTACAGTGAAATACTCAGAAATATTTAGAAGCTCTGGCTGCTCCCCACCTCTCTTATTACAGCGATGGTAATTCTGGTGCAAGCGCTTTCCCAAAACACTTCTTTTGGATTTGGATGGGCTTTTTAACCAACTCCTCATTAATAAAAAGGGCAGCTGTGAGCAGCCTCCACTCTCTCAGACACAGGAGAACACAGGAGATCTCTGCCTCCTCGAAACACATCCACAGGAGATCAGATTCCTCAGCCTGGTGCTCCCTATCTCTCCGGGCTTCACTCCAACACTGTCCTACCCTGTGAGCCCCCAGCCCTGTCCAGCACCCTGGAAGCTTCCTTCCTGACTTTGCCAACTCCAAACACCACTATGGCTGGTCTCCCTTTTCTCTCCAAGTCCCTGTGCTGTCCAGGTCCATTTGCTACCTTCTCCTGCTGCTCTCAAGCACTGCTGACAAAGGCCACTTCCATGGGAGCACAGAAGGGACAAGAGGACATCTCCTCAGCCTAGGATGTGGACATCCCAAACTGGAGTATGCTTATGAGTCTAAGCATCAGCCTGGGATACCAGTACCACCACAAAGCCAGATTTCCCATATGCAGCCTTTTAACCTATTTTTTCCTCCCTTTTTTACCTGCAGTGAAAGAAATGCTGACCGTGGCCACTTCCAAGCAGATCCCAAACCAACTCTCCCACTTAGGAACCATCCCGTAGGTTTGCTTGCTGTGCCCTGCCTTCCTTTGCTTTGTGACCCATGTGTCCCAGCCCAAAACTTGGCCACTGTGTTTAGCATCTTTGGGAAGAGATGCCTTTCCCATGAAACTTGCTCAGATGAGGTGTCCGGACCCACCTCTGCCTCCTCTGAATCCAGTTCGACTGCCCCAACCAGAGGACAGCTTCACTTGAAGTGAATGGATCCCTCCCCACGGATCCCTCCCCACCTGGCAGGGCTAGAGCTTCCTGGCCAAGCTGCCCCTGGTCCCATCCCCGAAGCCAGCAGACAACTGGAAGCAATGCTGGATCAAAGGAGAAAGATTGCTCCATACCTAGCTGGACCAGTTTGATGCTAGCGTGCTGGGCAGCTAATTCTTTCAGGGCCTGGAAAAGTGATGGAGTAGGCAGGAGGTTAGAAGTCACTGGCAGCACAGCCAGGTGTCCCACCCCTGCTCCCAGGTCACCGAGCCAGGATGGCTTTGCTTTCTTTGGGGAAAGTGTGTGGGGCCCTTCCCAGTGGATGGGGTAGGGCAGCATCCCTACAGCCAGCAGGAGAATGGTGCTGCTGGGCTTTGGCACTGCCCCCCCATCCTGAGTGATCCCAGCATGGAGAAGGGATTGTCTGGCCACTGGCACAGCCAGGAGTGAGTGTTGAAGATATGTCTGCCTCTCCAGCCTCATCCCACCCAGCTACATCAGGCACTGCCTTATCCAGGGCACTTGGGGGTTATGAAACCCCCCCAGAGCACTCCTGCCCCCACTGCTGGGCGACCCAGCCAGGTCCAGAGCCAGCGGGGAGCTGTCAGGGCTGTGGGAACCGTGGATTCCCTCTGCCCACCTGGCTCAGGACCATCCCCGTGCCCTGTGCCCACACTGACCTTCCCTCTCGGACCCTCGGGGTCACGGCAGGTGGCAAAGATGTGCTGGGGGGGCCAGGGGCTGGCAGCGAGCTGCCGCACAAGCTCCAGCCCGATGCCCCGGTTGGACCCCGTCACCAGGACGCTCCGAGCCAGCGCAGCCATCCCCGCAGCCTCCACGCCGGGCGGTGACACATGGCAGGATTGCTGCCTGCTTGGCGTGAAGAGGAGCCAGGTACAGCCCAGGGTGTGGCTCCGGGCGCCCACGGGGACGGGGACAGTGCCAGCACCAGCCCTGGCCCCTCGCCTGCCCCAAACGGAGCCAGGGGCCCAGGAGGATCAAGAGGTCTCCAATGTTTTGGCACGTGAGGCTGCGTGTCTCCTGCATTACCCAGAGGAAAGTTGTGGGGATGGGTCCATCCCATCTGGATGTGCCCAGTGGGACATATCTGTTGCTCAGCCTGGCAGAGGGGACAGAACTGCCTATTGCCTGGGTATTGAGTGCTTCTACATTTGGTGATCACCAAAGAAATACATGGAAGGTAGTGAAGGGGCCCCGGGTTTGGAAGATGAGGTTTCAGGTGACACAGAGCATGGAGAGGAGAAAGCAATGATGTTTCTTTCCATCGTAGTGGCCAGACTATGGCCCCCATGAGAAGTAAGTGTGCTGGGTGTGGATTTGGGTGGTGTTGGAGTGGGACCTGCTGTAGCAGACGTTCTTGAGGGTGTAATCACCTGTGCAAGCAATTGCACTGTACAGACTTGCCTGCTCCTGCTGCTATCTGCCAGCAGCATCCAGAGCAGAGTTCCCATTAGGAACCAATAAGACTGGAGTTTCCTCTTTTCCTTTCAGGCTCCTCGGGAAGGAGACAACAGAAACAAGCGAAGTAAGGGCTCCAGGACCAGGAATGGTGGGAATGGCTGCGGGCCAGCACTGAGGAGGGGAGGCAAGCACCAAGCAACCTTTGGAAAGGGCTGACCGATGGTAGCCAAGGACAGCAGCACAGGCATGCTGATGGCTTGGGAATCACAGCCCAGGAGCAGAAAGGATCCACTGGGGAAGAGATGCTCTCTCCATGGGAACAGCCAAGGCTTCAGGCAGGGAGTGGGGCTGTGTTGGGTGGCCAAAGCTCTTGATCCGGCACCGCACCGTCATTGTTGCAAAATGTGGAATGTGTCTCTAGATTATCTCAAGTCAGGATGTTCTTTGATGTTAGATTTTTGTATACTTTCAAGCCTAATCAGCAAGAAAGGAGGGCTAATCAGTGGAACAGGCAGCAGCCAGCATCCCTTACTCAAGGACATTCTGGAACTAATAAGCTTTAGGGATGACATTGCTAACTTGGCAAAATACTCAAGGTCCATGTGTCCTAGACCTGAACTATCTTCATTATAATACTAAAAATCACACCTACAGGTCAAAAGGACCGTGCCCAGGTGAAGACCCTCGCCCTGAGCATGTGCAGAATTTATCTGGGGTTGTGTGATTTGTATGGGAATTACTAATCAATCCTAATAGAGTGGACTGAAAAGTTACTGTAACACTTGCAAAGTCACTAACTCAGAATTTGCGTGTAAACACCAGCACGGAAAGTCCAGTGGGGCGTGCTGCACTTGTGGAACACCACCGAGCACCCAGGCTCGGGCAGCTCTGAAATCAGGAATCAGTGTCTGTCTGTCTGTCTGTCTGTCTGTCTGTCTCTCTCTCTCTCTCTTGTGTGTCATTACTGGCTCGTTGCACACGGGGGAAAACAAACCCGATTTCTGAGTGTGACCCCCACTGCGCCCACAGGGCGGGCACCCCTAAAATGGCGGCGCCCACAGCGGCCTCAGCCCGGGCGCGTCACGTGGCCGCCGCGTTCCCGCCATTGCATCAGCCGGCGGCGGGCCCGCCCCGGCGGTGAGGGGGCGGGGCTTGCGCGGAGCGACAGCGCCGGCAGCCAATGGGAGCCGTCCCGGCGGTGGAGGGGCGGGGCGTGGCGCGCGCTGCGGCGGCCGGCGGTGAGGGGCGAGGGGCGGCGGCGGCCGCGCAGGTACGGCCGGGGGGGACACGGGGGGGCTGCGCTCCGGGTTTGACCGCCACGGCCCGCCCGGGACCCCGGGCCCAGGGGAGAAGGGCAGGAGGGAGGGTAATGGGGGAGGGTGGAGGGTGGTGGTGGTGGTGGTGCCGCTGGTCGCGCCCCAGCCGGGCCTGCGGGGGGGATGGCGGACCCAGCGCTTCCCCCGCCCCTCCTCGGGCACTGGAGAGCGGGCGGTGTCCGAGCAGGGCCTCTGGTCGGCCCTGTGCGCGGTCCTTCCCTCCTCGGGTCATTCCCTCCTCCAGCATCGAGGTTGGACTCGATGATCCGAAAGGAGTTTTCCAGGCTCATTGATTCCGTGATTCAATGAACTGCTCCCAGGCCCTGCTCCCGTGGGGGATTCCCGTCCCTCGGCGCCGCAGCACGCTGCTGGGAGCTCACCCCCCCCCCTCGTGTATCTGCATTGCGCTCCGCTGACAGGGACAGCTCTGTGCACCCGTGGGACACTCGGGCGGTGCTGCCCTGCAGGCTGTCACTGCCTCTGGGGTGCCTGAGGGCATGTGGGCCCTCCCAGGGAAGGCTTCCAGGCATCCTTGGAGCTGTCTCTGCTTCGAGCAGGGAGGGCGGACAAAATGATATTCAGGGGTCATTCCTGAACTTGGCTCTTCTGTGGTTTAATTATAGAATCACAGAATGGTTTGGGCTGGAACAGGCCTTAAAGCTCATCAAGTTCCACCCCCCCGCCATGGGCAGAGATACCTTCCGCTAGACCAGGTTGCTCCAAGCCCCATCCAGCCTGGCCTTGAACAGGGATGGGGCAGCTACAGCTTCTCTGGGCAACCTGTGCCAGGGCCTCCCCACCCTCACCAAGAAGAATCTAACCTAAATCCCTCCTTATTTGGTTTAAAACTGTTCTCCCTTGTCCTATCACTATCTGCCCATGTAAAAAGTTGCTCTCCCTCTCTTTTATAAGCCCCCTTCAGATACTGGAAGGCCGCAGTGGGGTCTCCCCACTCTTGCATTTATTCACCTTGAGTGCTTTGTCGGCTTGGCAGCTCCCCCCTCCATCCATGTCCCCAACAACACAAATGCAACATATTAAGTTCAGTATCCATGTGAATTTGCAATTTTAAAACCCCGTGTTTTCAAAGAACAGGTAACTTGATGTAGAGCCCCGAAATCAGGGAGATTGGGGGAGAGGAGGTTTGGGGTTGGGCCAGCGCTCTTTGGGGCAGACCGATGGTTGAACTGAGGAGCCAGTGAGTACTTAATGTGGGGGGGGGACCCTTTCATGAGATGGAGACAATGATCCTCATGTTCAGCTCGAGCTAACAACACGTCAGAGCCTTGTTTGTTGTTGTTTCTTCAGACTGCACCGAGGCCTTGCCGCTTCCCCGCCGCTCGCTTTGGCCAGCGGTGACTCGCAGCCTCAGGATGGAGGCCACGCTCACCGCCAGCCAGATCCGGCAGCGCTTCATCGACTTCTTCAGGGAGAACAAGCACACCTACGTGCACTCATCTTCCACCATCCCCCTGGACGACCCCACGCTGCTCTTTGCCAATGCTGGTATGAATCAGGTAGGTTTCCCACCCTGGCACTGCGGTCCTTACGGACATATCCCGTTGAAACCCTTGAGGCTGTTTGCAGAATTTCTTGTGCGGAAAATTATTGTTTTCTCCGTCTTCCATCTGGTCACAATGGGGTGGTTGGTGTGTGCTGCTGGAGCCCTCTGTGCCCTCACAGAATTGACAAGAGCACTGGAAGAGAGGTCCCTGTGATGGGAGCTCTGACAGTCTCCCTTCCTTGACCCTTTGTACCACAGCCAGTCCTGGCACAAATGACTAATGGCATCTTTAAAGAGCAGTTGGGACTGACCTGCTGCAAGGGCTGTGCTGCAGATCAGCACTCATTTTTTATTTTTTGACAGCTGGGAATCCGACAGCTTCTAATCCCTTTGGAAGTCCCAGGGTTTGGTGGGCTCCAGAAACACGTGTGTGTGTGTGAGAGCTGAGTTCTAGGCAGTGCTGCAGCCTTGCCACAGGCAGGAGCAGCAGGTTTGTTTCTGAAAGGTGCCTTGGGTGCGTCCAGGCCAGTGATATTGTCACACAGATGACACACACTGCCTTGCTGTTGCTTGCAACATTTGGAAACAGGCTCTGAGTGCTGGTCTGAGTTGCCCTTTTTTCTCTCCTCTCAGTTCAAACCCATCTTCCTCAACACTATCGACCCCTCACACCCACTCGCTAAACTGAGCAGAGCCACCAACACTCAGAAGTGCATCCGAGCAGGGGGCAAACACAACGACCTGGACGACGTGGGGAAAGATGTGTACCACCACACCTTCTTTGAGATGCTGGGGTCCTGGTCCTTTGGGGATTACTTCAAGGTAAAGCAGGCTGGGTGCAGCTCTGAATCCCTGGCACAAATTTGTCTCCATGAACTCAGCAGAGCGGTTGCCAAGAGGAAAGAAAATATGTTGGCACAGAGGGGCATGTGGCTCCTTTGGGATAAATGAGGTTGGAAGCTACCCCAACCCTGCAGAATGATTTGAGATTAATTACTTAAGGTTTACAAAGCTGATTAAATTAACTCTGCTAGTTTAGAGTCTTCAGGCAGAGGTTTTAGGGGTTGTCCTGGAGCTATGGGGAATTGCATGTGCTGTGCAGCTATGGTGGACCTTCAAACAGGAGTGATCATACAATGATGATGCCCTTTCCCAAGCTCCTTGATAGTGTAGTGCTCTAAGTCAGAAGAAGGATGTTAGGAATACAAAACAACAGCAGAATTAAAAGGCTTTTTGGAGGTAGTGAACATGCTTAGGAGTTAACTTGGCTGCATCAGGAAAGTCATTTGAGATGTTTCTTGTGCTCTGTTCGCTGCATATATTAATTTGCCTCTTATGTCAAAGGTTGGAAAGTTTTTGGCAGTTTACCTGCTGGTACCTGCAGTGGCCAGTACTTTGGATGTTGAAGAGAAGCTGTCTTTGCACTCACTTGCTGACCTCATCTTTCCTTCTGCAGGAACTGGCTTGTAAACTGGCACTGGAACTTCTCACCAAGGAGTTTGGCATTCCTGCTGAAAGACTTTATGTCACTTACTTTGGTGGAAATGAGGCTGCAGGGCTGCAGCCAGACCTGGAGTGCAAGCAGATCTGGTTGGATTTGGGGTAAGGCCTTTCACTGAGGAAGGTGCAT